CTCTTGGTGATCGTTACAAGATGATATACCCGCTGCAACTACCGGTGTACGAGCGGATTGACGAGGGACTCACTGCTGTGGGGTGGGTATATACACACGCAATTGCCTGCTTCGTTAAGCATGGGAAACTACTGTCGCATTCAAGCAGCCAAGGTTCAGAATCCCTTTCGCAACGTGCGATTGCCTGTGTTTGAGAAATAGTTACTGCATCCCACAAGTTACAGAGTTGAAAATCATTTCCTGAAGTCTCCCTGAAAGTCCACTCCACTAAAGCAACATGACAGCTTTACTGTGTATGCAAGCACTGTGCAAAAATACCTGCAAGTGAATAAATTGTAAGTCGACTGTAGGGAATCTAGGCTGGCTAACATGTTGATTACTATACAACGAGAGAGGGTGCGTGCATGATGGTTGAGTTCAATCGGACATCACATCCACGCGCAACCGCAGCATTTTGGTGGCTAGCTAGTAGGGAGTATATATATGTATGTCCATTCCTCGATTCCGCTCAAAAGTCTTAACCGATTGTTTGTTCCGTGTTTCCGCGTTGACACCCAAGGGCCTTAGAGCGAATTCGTGTAAGGTCTAATCTTCGCATTCTAACGTGATACTATGTGGTTTAAAAAGCATTCTGTACAGATTTCTTTCCTACTTAAGTCAAACTCCTCCTCTTGGGTGCCCGATTCTACCAACTCCAAATACTGCCACCCCATACACATACACACACACGTGACTAGTTACACGCGTATAATGTCGTCGGCGTTGTCTTTTATCGTTTACATCGCTTGTGCACTTTTTCTAGGATATGCTATTTGATTCCTGTGTAGAATAGAAGAAACCAAGTTACGGCGCCCACCCATAACAACAAAGTAAGGACGCCACAACGCCATATTTCAGTTCGCCATTTTATTTGGCAGCAACTGAATGTCCTTTAAAATCAGGTAGATTCTAACGTGCAGAAAAGCACAAACCGACTGTTGCTTTCAATCGGACACTTCAGTAGTGCACACCTCTCGCCTGTATCAGGAACCGAGCCCAGCATCGCTAGCTGTTTACACCACTAGCTGGTAGCTTATGAGCTTGGGCCACTGGTGATAGTGGAAAATGTTTATGAACTACAGGCTAAATACGATATGACGCAATTCATTCCTTGTTGCTATGTGAGTTACAAATATTGCAGGGGGTAGGCCTGACCCTTAGAGCCATGACTTTTAACAACAGAAGCAATGCAAATGGCAGTATTTAGAGACTGTTGGGTAATTATTTTGACGAATTAAGAGCGGGGATTTTTAAGGGTATTTAATTTAGAGTTTGTTCCCATCAGCTTTTTAGTTAGATATCCCTCCACCCATCCGGTAAAACCACAGACGGTTTTTTCGTTCTGTCAAGATTCGTCCCTAGTGTGCATGCATTGACTCCATCCTGGAATCTAAGTGGAAGCGGAAAAGGCACTGAATCATCGGCTAAACTGTGTGGAATCCGGGACGATCAGCTGGGTGCGTGTCTATGCGGAGGAGATTACTATGAAACCGGACCATCTGTGCGTCACATGTTTCAGAGTCAAACTGAAACACAAGTTGCACGTATCGGATGAGACGAGATGTTCACTAGGAAGCCTGGTCGATATCCCTTGTTTCATCAACCAAAAGTGGTTGGATCTGATATGTGGTGTTCTTAGGCGTGGTAAGATGACGGAGGAAGTACTGGTCACTTCCACTTGTCAAAGGCAGGTTCGGTTTTTCTGAGGACGTAATGCTGACCAACAGTTGCTTTAATTGACATTCGCTTTCTCAGAAGTGGCTTAATTCACGATAGGCATGGAGTGATTACCAAGAGCTTATCAGTCAACACAGAGAGGTATGCAGAGCACGGCTGCAAACGTTATTCACAACTTATCTAAGGTTTTATCGGTTGTTGTCCTGGATCATTCATGACACCGATGTTTCCACAGGAAGGTGAATCTGTTATCACATGGTGCAGGGTACTGGAATAATGTGGCAATAGTATCAGGGTTGGGTGAGACTTTGTGATTGGAGATGTAGCAACAGCCATTTATCTTGAGCCTCCGCTCTGTGACTTGATATTCGTCGAGTAAGCAGTGGTGTGTTGGTTTTATTTGGCACCTTCATTATCTTGTGTTAAGAGTAAGTATTACCCTGTCGTGTGTAAGTATCACCGTATGGACAGGTGAATAATATGGGATCGGCGCAAATATGAAGCATTTCAACGATCTGCTACTAGGTGCACACACAGTGATTCCATGTAATGTTTCATCCAGAGTGGACAGTCGTGGGGAGACGCAGCAGAACGTAAGTCAGTAACATTCTAGCGGCTACCGCCTAATGTCTCGTGTGATGGTTCGTTGCCTCCATGAACCACTTACAGTACGGCTTGGGTTTCTGCAATTACATACGGGATTAACCGTGTCCCGTTAACGCAGCATGCAGACCGAAAATTATCAGCTATGTAAGTCATATGCATGTACATCACTAAGAAACGGCCAACCAGGTGGCTACCGAACACATGAAAATTGCACTACTCTGCAGCACTGCTTAGAGCTTGATCCACCTCGGATTACATTCGGTGGAGCTATTTTGCAAGACAATATGGAACGCAGAATAAGTATTGAAGCCAGCAACCAATGGGAATTGACACAGCCTATATTTGATTACGAACAATGAACAATGAATTTATAAGGGATAAGAAGCAAGTCCCGTTGGCTGCTTTGCTAGGGTTAACAAACAATATAAAAATATGCTCGGTAGTTTAACAATGCTGGAGCCCCGCAATCCGCGTAGTTTCTTAGCATCAACAGGTAAAAGCAAAAAGTTCAAAGTATATTCCAAGAGTAGGATGGAGATATACTGTTAGGTAGCAAAGCGCAAGTGGATGAGTGCAGTAAGGATCGACCGACATGGTGTTGGTCGCGCAGAATTAAGGCCATTATCATGTCGCCTCGTAATCGGTACCACCGTCTGCCTAAGATAACTAAAAGTTTCAGCCTCTGCTCATATGGGAAATGACGCATCCCAAAGACCTAGTTGGATGTCCGACATTGAAGCTACTGCAGTGCATTAAGATCGTGTTTCGATCATGAATGTCAGGCTTGAATTGCGTATTCTACATTGGGCGAACATTCGCAATGAACATCTGTCGGGATCCGGCAGCATTCGGCGGGTGCGCGCTACTGACGAGTCCCAATAGAACGAAACGGGCGTCTAGCGCTTTCCTACATATGTGATAGCTGTTTACGACGAATCTTCGCAAAAAAGCGATATGTCTTTTTGTCCAAATAAGCGTGGCAACAGCTCGACGTGTATGGTACCAGCATTCGGGTCTTTCTGGGTTGCCTGAAGCAATCTAAGTCATCCCGAACCAGAACACTCATTTCACCTTCGACGGGAGATCGCTGCACTACTTGCGTACCGAGCCTGTATGAGCAGTTGAGCTGGTGTCTTAGGGAGAATACCTTGCAATTACTCACGTTGAAATGTGGTAAGTTTTGAATTGACCACTGTTGTACCGTGCCTAAGTCACTCCGAAGCAGATGCGTTCACCCGAATCCTGCGCCAAATCTTGATGTCATCGACAAACAGTAGGACGTTGGAAGTGAATCCTTGTGCCAACACATTAAGAAATTCCTCAGTGCCGCATTTGTAACGTATCTCATTAAGCTTACATCAAGTGAGCAGCCATGAAACGAGTGGCTGCTTGTAAATGCTCTACTAATTGAGGTTCCAGCTGACCCTCTCACCTAGTCCACTGACAGTACAATATGTCGTTATTTCTGTGAGGCTCACGGGCATAATCATGGCGTTTCAGTTTTCTCGTTGATCTTTATTCACTGTTTTACGGGGAATACATGTTCCCACAAGATCATGCAGGCGAAACATCATTAAACACTCGCAGTCATACCAGTGCGCATTATTTGTTCAATCCCCGCACTTGCAAAAATTCACTTTCAACTGACCAGCATCCGCTAATACAAAGATTCAAATTTCCGTAAGGTTCTGTTTCCATGATACCAATTCACTAACTTACGCCTACTTTCCTGTTTAAGCTTGCGCGGAATGTTCAACGTGAAAAGCACATACACTATCAAGCTTCGTTGGGGCTGCGTAACGTTGCATTCACTCTTTGCTGGACTAGTATGTGTCAGCGACGAAGAGATTATTTCGCTCGATTTCTCTCTCCCTGGCTCTCGCACGGGGTCGTGTAGACGCGCGTCGCATGCGTGTTCGCTCTAGTCTCAGTTCGAGTGTAGAAAACGATTGCTTACTAAGTATCACGGGTCGTACGAATGGAATTCTGTCGGCTTCTTTTCGGTGCGCACGTACACTCCACAAGTGGTTCGTTCGTTTTGACTTGCAGATTTGATACAATCAGACGGTTTGTTCACACAGTAAGCGAATGTTTGTGTATACCGTGTACTATTGTGATCGTCCTTTTCATCTCCTACGGAAGGGGTTTCAACTGGTGTAGCAGGTCCCATGTCAAACAGGAGAGTACATGACTGAGATAAGGCGGAAACAGACCTGGGATTGTGGCACGTTCAGGCGGTGGTTCGGAGAAGGATTTCGCAGCCAGGGTTATAAGCCGTTTGACATCCCATTTAATATGCTGTGTTCGGTAGTTCTGTATCGATCTTATGTTCGCACACTTACCTGATACTGTTAGACTTGTCAGATCACAGCTCCCACACTGTCCTTAATCGTATCAGAATGACTTTAACTTTACGCCACATGCGTTGAATCATGGATAGTTGACACTGTTAACGTAACGCGAGATAAGAGAACCTAGTACCATCGAGTTTAGCAGGAGCAACTGAGGTTACTTCTCTGCGATCTAGTGGTTCAGTGATATCGCCGGAGTGGATCTTGTTCAATTTTTTCGGATTCTCATGGTTTAGTTTTTCTAAGCCCGGTCCAGAAATTGTTCGGTTTGGGTTCATTGTTGGATGAGGGTGGAGGGGGGAATAGCGACATTCTCGCTGTACTTGCTCAACTGGTAGGTACCTCAAGTCTCATATTCGTCACAGGATCATTTGCTTCCACACAAGCGATTTCACGTATGTCATTTGGGGCGCCAGCATCAGCAACCGTGCCTAGCATATCAGCAGGATCACCAGTGACTGCAGTTGTCTCCCCCATACATGCATCACCACAGGCGTCGGGAGTCGATGCTTGCACCAACGAAAGGGCATCTCTGTGGACCGCCACCTTCTGGGAAGGAGGCACACAAACATACGTCATCAGACCCAGTCGTCAGACCATTGAGTCATGAGTTTGAATGACTCGGACAGGCTGGTTTCCAGTGACGGTATTTTCACAACTGTATTATCGTGTACTGACAAATTAGCATTCTATAGTGGTCGTCTCATGTGAACGCTTTGAAACCAGTCGTTGCTCATCGTGATGATGTAAGCGGTTTTAACAACAGCACGTAGACCATGTGCTGTCCAGCCCCAGCCTTTGTAGTATGGTACGCATTTATTCTTCCGTGTTGTAGCAGTGTTTATCTAACGGGTGCCGACCCAGTAAGGGTCATGAACTGGGTGCTGATAATCCACTTCCATAGCAAAGTAATAAGCAGATTGTAACTACCAGCTGTGACCTAATGTGTCCTTGCGTTCACTGTTTCTACAACAGCGAGCAACAAGCCCACTTGATGAAAGATTTTATCACGCTGGCCATCAGTCGCTTGATGTCTTTGGCATCGACGGTCTTTGTGCTTTGTCATCAACTTGTTGTAGGATCACACGGACTCGCTCTTTCCATTGCGATATAACCCTTGATTGAAAGTAAGCAGGCTTCGAGTACATCATTGATCCTATCCGCTTCCCCCCAGTCGCACTTCTTCGGATTTGCACTTACAGTGAATCATGAGATGGCCGACAGAAATCGTATCAATGTGAAATCCACTCATGATACCCCTGAAACACAGACGTGCCGTGGCCGCTCCCAGTGACTATGCTAGGAGAATTCGGGGACAGAAACTGTCACCTGCTGCTATTGCTACAGTCGGGTCAGTGTTATCGCTTGCAAAACCTTCTGTTCCAGTGGTATTGCCACAGTTAAATACAGGCAGACAACCGCTCGTGCCTACATGCGGAGCAACTCTATGTGCAGTGTTTCACCTGATGCGTCCACTTAAACCAGAGAGGATAAGGTGAGAAGATAGCCATGTGGATACTAGGAGTTGATAGCCCCATATGCTGCGAATGGCTCCTAACAACTGTCCAACTTATTTTAAAGCTAACCAACCAAGTTCACAACAGCCACAATGGCTGTTAATTCTCGATGCAACCAACCATTAGTTCAGCTCACACGAATGCACAACCAACTATGTGCAACCAACCCGACAACAATCTGTTCGCACGCTGGCTGCAGTTTGAAAGCACGGCAAAAAGAGCGCTGCATGCAGCAGCGTCCGTTTGTCAGGCAGATTACACAACCGCATATCACCTTAGAAGCCGATGAATACTGCGTGTTGTCCGCCCCAAAACCCTGCGCCTCAAGACGGGTTTCGTACACGTTTGTACTCATTAGGTGGAGAGAATGGGACTGCCACTCGAGCCGGAGACCTTCAGGATGCCAGGTGGTGCCACTACACCTAAGCCGCAGATACATGGCGGACAACATTTGTCAACAAAGCCAATGACGCGTCGATGGGTCATTTTGAAGCAAACTTTTAATGAATGTTTTGCGACAAGCCATTTCAATGCGGACCACGAATATCCCTTCGAAACGAAACCTCTCCTTTCGGTCAGTGAAAGGACATGTCGCAATCCATTCACGCATCGCGTGCTTCAAAATGACTGTCCATCTTTGAAGCTCTTTTCTACCTCACATGGTCACCCTGGAGTTCGAACGAACGAAGTGAAGTGTCCACCTGGTCCCGTGCCGGCATTGCCGTAGCGTGGGGCAGGCTCACTCCTCAAGAACACAAACGGATAACCGTCCGATTTGTCGGACACACTTGTAGCCAGCGTGTAGCTAAAAGCCACTAAGGGGGATATAAAAGATGGCCCATATTTCCCACGTGATTCTCCCAGATGTATATCATTCCACACGTGGTGCAATTGTGCATCAGCGTATAGAAGGAGCATTCACGCACCCAAACGCCTAAGCACACACAACCGTCTACGTGGGTGTGACAACCCAACGACGTATATTACACCCCTGTACAAGCTTATTGATGCCCAATGGTTCAGTGTTGCCTGCACAGAACTGAAACAACGTTGGGGGTCTAAACAAACTGGCTCTCCACATGTACGCTATCTTCGGTATCCGGCACGGCCACGTGTACGCCAGGCGCTCGTGAATCACAGGTGTGGAGCCATCAGCCTGCTGCGCCAAGTCAGTGGAGTAAACTAGTCAACCGATACACCTCCTCAGAGCTCAGGGGGAACCCACACTTCTTTCCAAATCTGTGCAGTGGGCACAGTCCAGATGGAACCGATGCTGTCTGTTTCATGAGTGGTCACCAACGTAGCGCTACGCATGGTTAGGGAAGTTACTGGTTCACTGCTTGACTATCGGCATATCATTTATCTCAAACCCAGAGTAGAAAAAGAAGTCAAAGAGACTTAAAAATGGAACTAGCATTCGTATTGTACACATACTACATACTTACTATCAGCACGAATGGAGCAACTCGAGTATAGTTCAGTAGGGTTTCTGTGTATGTGAACTATAATTCGTGGATCCGTCTCATTTACGGGATCACGAGTGAGTAAGGGGGCTGAAAGCAAGAACAATCAGTCGATGCAAATTGGTCTACTCGCTGGTACAAAGCTCGTAACAAAATCACCTGACCTCTTGCTGTGAAGAATAAGCGGTGATCATGGATTTAAACAATTCGCTTTACAGGCCTCCAGCTTGTGGAATTCCGTTGACAAGCGTACATTTTTAACATGGTTAGTTTGCGAACATGTGTACTGCTAATTAAAATCAATACACTTTACAGACTTTATCAATATCGTTGGTGTTGCTGTAAATTTTATTAAGGTTGAGGAGGATAAGAGTGATCCGACAGGTGCTCGTTTCGTCTAATGCATTCTGGATAACTGGGGGAGCTAGTAACAGCCGCTGCGCGGAGCAACACTGCCTCTCACGTAGTCCTCTTAATGACATTTCACCCTACATTTCAAGTTAAAGTAAGGGTCAACGATAGCACACAGCGCTTTTAAACAAGGGACGATCGGTTTGTGTGGGCATCATTCTGCCGGGATGGTAGCCCACTGTGCCAAGGTAACGGTCAGTCCCACAGGACTCATTTCGACGTGGACATCTTAGAGGTAAACAACTCCAATACACACAGTGAGAACCGTAAAAATGTGTTCCAACCTGCCTTATGTGAGATGGATACACTTCTTGAGCTCAGCAAGAGTAAGAGACCGCTAAACTCTAGCTAGCTTTAGGATCAACTCTATCAAATACGTGCATACCATTTTCAACGCCATACCGTGAACTCGACCAACTACGGTTCGGCCCCACCATCCTACATAGTGCATAATTCATGGAACGATCAAATAAGGGTCTAGGCCACATAGATTAAGCACAGCTCCATTTACTGCTTACTGGTGCACAAACACTTACTCCACATTCTTCAAGAAGCTTCATTTTTGTCTACCTACTTTCGCTAGCATAATTATTGTAGTTTGAAGAAATGCCGATTCGTGTCTCCTAATTGTTCAAACAACAGCAGTGCTGAAGTACTTGACACATCCGTGTAGTTCGAATGTTTTAAACAAATGGTTGCTGCCAAGCTTTTCTACTCTGAACATTTCACCAAAGCGGATTGCTTCTTTCATCGATCATTGGGCAGCAGAGCGACGCATTCCAGCAAGCAGGTCATAGGAAGTACAGTGGGATTCCACTGTGAAGTACCTTAGTTAAAGCAATGGGTGACAGCTGAAGCGTTAATACAGTTGTGGCTAGTACCTATAAATACTAGGATCGTGATCAGCCAGCGGCCCTTTGCTGTATGACACACACCAACAATATTCCCTTTGCCGGTGGTAACCAAGTCTTGCATGGGATGCTGCAGCTATCGCGCCTCTGTTCAGAAAATGGAATACAAAATATCATGAGCTGTTTTCGTATCTGCTTTCTCTCAACGTATCTGCAGCTATCCGTTCAGGACATGTGCAATTAACACGAAAGCCGCAACTGTTAGAAGGTCGAACGCAGTGGTCACCCTTCACACTTGTCAAGCATATGCAACGGAACTGTTTCGCATCGCGAATTGTTGCGTGCGTTCGTTTCTCTTTGGGCTGAATCGTTTGCGATGGAGATAGTGGTGTTTGGCTAGGGAGCAGCATCCGAGTGCTACAGAACCAGCGGTAACTTGTGCGTTCCCGACTGTGGAAAGCGTCCGGTTACAATGTGCTCGCAGCTGCACGATCATGTACAAATTGCCAAACCCAGTTTCTAAACTTCGTTACACATTTCATTGACGGTGCTAACATTTTGATCAGCAGATTCCTTGATATGCGTAATGCACCCGATTGAGAGCCGCATGGGAAACTTCTGTCGAAAATAGATTCCTTCGGTATAGCTGGCAATTTGCATTCTTGGATTTCATCGTAACCTTCCGATGCGCGCCATGCAGTAAAAAAGTAAATAATATCTCCACTACGAGACAAGTCCCAAGTGGCGTGATTCAAGGAAGTGTGCTAGGTATTCTGGCAGACCATACGTTTTCGCCGATGATATCAAAATAGTCTGAGTTCCATTCGAACAATATCAGTAACGCCCTACCTAACATCCAAACGGATCTGCGAGAGATGGAAACTTGTTGCAGCAACTAAAAATCGTATTCTCATCCGATAACTACCACTATTTATGCTATCGGTGCTGTACTACGCCCGATTCGTTGATACAAGACGGTAAAACACTGCCCACCTGTCTCACATTACGTGGTTTTGGGCTGCATTACTCGAGCTCGTTCAATTTCGCCGAACGGGAGTGGTGTGCTGTTCAGTGAACAATGATTTATCAGAGGTAAAAAGCAGGTGCTTAACAAACACCGTAGGGTAGTTGGAGTGCACAGTAAAACGAGCAAAAGGTAAGTGATTTGTCAGTTTAAGTGTCTACCGACTTAACTGCACTGTTGCGCAACGATAGTTTGGAATGGGAGTTGTATGTGTACACACAAAGTAAATGGGGAACAGTTATATTTCATGTAATCCGTGAGAAAACAAATAAATAAGGGAGATGACAATGCGCACACGTGTGCCGCTTCATTT